ATGCCATTATACACTTTTTTTAAAGTTTCAATCTGGTTTTAGAGCTGAAACCAAACCATTACAAAGACTAGAGCCATGTATTAATGACATTAAAATCTGGATTTCTCTCAACTTGCTGCCTCTGAATGTAGAAACCTACCTTGAGATGAGGTGTGTTGTGAATTGGTGCTATAAAAAATAAATTGAAACTGAATTGAATTGCTGCCTTCTAGTCCAGTTTATAGACACTCAAGAGTAATGAGATGGCTCCTCATGCTGGTATAATGGAGTATTTGCAACTATTTATAGAAATACAAATTAACTCCTATAAATAGTCAATTTTTCAAGATTTAATGGTTTGATAATGCTGAGTTATTAAGCATTTGTATTCAGTTTCAAACATTCAAAAACATTTTACTGATTCCAAAGGGAAATTAATATTCTAATGAGTTGTCATGGATGTCAATGGCTGCAGGAATATATATACATATATATATATATATATCACTCTCCTGTCACCAGTAGTAGGTGATTCATAGATTTGTGAGAAACGCGTTCTAAGCTAGAGAAATGTCTTAAGGAGGATGACTAAGATGATTCTGTTGAACGCTGAGTTTAAATAAAAAAAAATAAGACGTCCATCAAATGCTTCCACAGCAGCTACACCAAATAACCACAATTATTTGGCATTCGATTGGCTTCAGATTGCAATTTTTTCCTTTTTAATTATCATTTAATAAGCCCATGTTGTTCATTTAAGTACATAAGATACACATTAGAGGCCTGAGGTAGGTTGTGTTTATGATGAACAGTTGTCATTGCTTTTGTCAATATCCCTAGCTCTGCAAACGGTTTCCCACATCTCCTCCTCGCGTTAATTCTTACCAGGTGGCCTCCTCCACCCTCTTAGTCCAAAAGATGGATGTTAGGTTAATAGGTTCCCCCTTGAATTACCATTAGCAAATGGTATTTCAAATAACCTTGCATTTACAATGGTAAATGCAAGGTTATTTGTCCTGTGTGTCTCTGTGCAGGTTGCAAACTGCCTTTAACCTGATGAACCCAGAGATGGGAACCAGACAGGATACATGGATGGTTGAATGGAGTTATGGTTATCATCATTTATATGTCATTCAGAACACCAGATGCATAGAATAAGGAAAATGTTTCCTACCAAGAGCACGCCGAAGTATGTTAGATGGTCGCAAGAACAGGTGATGTGCGTCTGATTATATTCGGCATCTTTACAGCCCTTTGTGCTTAGTTCTAATGAATGAGAGAAAGAGAAACCTGTAGTAATGAAATGACTGCATTTCATCCACATCAGCCAATCAAAAGACCAAATGACCAAACAAGAGCCTCTTTGTTATAAAAGCTACTAATAAAACTGCTACTCACTGTTAGCTGTAGTATCTAAGAAGACACACTTAGGTTTCAGGGTGTCCTATAAAAAGAAAAACAGAAGTCATGCTGTAACATTGTTACGTATATAAGCTGTTGTAAGAAAGGCAGGTGAATAAAATTATAGTTACATTTATGCTCGATGCAACACTTATGGTGATGTTGATTCGTTCCTGAAGTCCGGCAACAGGCCTGCCCACACTGATTCCAATGAGTCGGTGTTCATACAGGTTCTCCATGACCTCCATGGAAGTCTACAAAATTAAAAAAAACTCAGGAATAAAAATCATATCGGTTCCAGTTCCAGTTCTTCTGAATTTCAGTCTAAAAGCCAACATCTGATGGATCAAGACAGCGTTGTACTTTAGAGTATTTTTGAACTTGGTCAGTGGTTCTGAAGATTGAAGAGGAAGACATAAGCCTGATGGGAAAGAAGATTCCAAGAAGCCAATCGGTTGACGAAGATAGTTGTTTCTTAGGAAAGTCCTGTAGAAATGTAGATAGTTTTCCAAGAAGCCATCTGAAGGCTATTCTTTTTAAAAGTCTCTGTTAAAGATTTCATCTTACAGTAGCAGCCATTCAAAATGGCCGAATGGCAGCCCACTTCCCTCCAACTTCCAGCGAAATCCCCCCCAACTTCCAGCCACTGCAGTGACCCCCCTCTTGCATTTTGTTTTACTCTGACTCCAAGCTTTCACTGAATTACAGGGTCAGACCAGGAGATGATGCTTCTCTTTAGACCTTAATGTCCACAAATCATGACAGAAAGAATGTTTTAGTACAAATATTAATGTTTTAAAAGTGATTTTAGGGGTCCAGTCAAGGGAGCCATCAAGGGAAGTGGGTCATTTTTTAATGGCTACTGCAGAAGAACATGCTTTTTGCTCCTAAATTTGGGTTATAGTTCCGTTTTATCATCCTAAAATAGTTTAATGATTGGATTATTAATTTTTTTTTAAGTGCTACTGTATTAATCCCCTCCCAAAAACTACTAATAAAGCATGTTAACATTTATACAGGAGTGTGAAATTTGGTTGAATCCCAAACCGTTCCCTAACCACTAACTGTCATGATCTGGCCTGAGCCTCTGGTTTATATTCAGTTCAGCCTGAACATTCAGGGCCAGATCATTTTTTGTTTTCTGTTAGTCTCTGTTTATTAGGAAAAAAAAGAGCGACCTATATGAGAGTTTTATGTTAAAATAAAATGGAAGGAAATGTTTCTAAATGCCTCTGATCTTAATCATGTTTTGTGGTTGCAATGATGATGACTTATCATTTGCAGTGGCATGCTCATTTAAACTCCTTTACGTCATATTCACGTTGAAGCAGTGACCTCTCAAATGTACACAAATTCATTGATACACAGGTTGGTAGGCAAAGACATACATAACAATCCAAATCCTAATCTGAGTCAATATATGCATTTGAAATAGAATGTCAGCTTGTCAACACAACCATTCTTAAGAAGAACTGAAATACAGACTTATCGATACAATTCCTGCAGGAAGGAGAGACAGTTGAACCCCAGACTCAAACATAGTACTGTCTCCAAATGGACCTCCTCTGCAGAGTGTTTATTAACAGAACATGACGCATGGTTACAAA